GCACCCCCCCCCCCCCTTCCCTGGTTATTAAGTTCTTGGTGCTCCCCGAGCCTCGCTGTGATCTGGCCACTGACAGAGCTTCGCTTCAGGGAGCTACGCCCCACCCTAGCTTGGATCCTTGATGACGATGTTGTCGACTTTTTGTCATTTTTCTTTTTGTCTGTTTTCCCCCTTCACCGAGAGATCACAAAACGTCGATCAACTCGACAAAAAGACCAACGAAACATGAACCGCCCATCCCCCGCAATTCCTTTGAGCAACTTGGCAGTGACCAACAACCATGGTTGACACAAGGAAGCTGTGGTCTATTCTTGTCCGGGACCCCGGGATCACCTCTTCTACACGGACCGCATGCGTCTCGTCCGACCTTATCCCATGACTCCAATATAACGGTAATCATCAAGATGCACGTTCCACCCTCAAAAAAACTGTGAACATCCCCCAAATCTGCCGATATCATGATCTTGATGATCCGGGGTTCTCATGCCGCCATCCATGGGCACACCCGAAGAGGCCAGCCCTCCGGCAAGCAACGATGCCCCTCCAGTCAGTTCTGCAAGGGGTCACGAGTCGGAAATCTTCCTCTTTGGATGAAACTTGCTTCTTTCCGGCTTCCGTGCTTCCTTTTTCTCCTCCAACTTCCTTTCCTCCAGCGCCATGTCTCTGGCGGGCTTCTCTGATTTGGCTTCATAACTCTCTGCCGTGTCCGTGGAAGTCCATGCAAGCCACACTTTCTCTACTCTCTCATCCCGTTCGTCCAGACCAGCTGTTTGATGCAACCCAACGGTCTCACTCTTTTTCGTTTCACTACTCACCAAGCCACCGAGAGTGTTTATCGACCGGAACTTGTGAACCGAAAAACATAGCGGCAGTGCTAAACGAGCTAGTTGTTTATATGTCCTGTTGTTTAACAAAACAGAGCTAAAGCGAGCCATTCTGCTGTACGCCCACCACTACCGTGTCTCGTTTCGGACCTTCTCAACAACACACATTAACTTCCAGTTGCACACTCGAGAGTCAAGTGTAGTAACGGGATAGTCTCTGACTGGACCGATCCACAGACGCAGCCCATACCGCCGGGTTCTACGTGCCGTGTTGTTGTTTCATATCTAATCCAGAGATTGTCTACTTTTCTCCACAATCAATATGACCAGCCATAACCCATCAACAGTGCCCTCTCAGCCCAAAGAGCGACATGGAGGTAGTGTTATAGCACTGGAAGGTCCAGAAGAGGTCGTCGCTACGCAGCTGCACCTCCTCCCTCCTTCATCCCAGATTATGGTCCTTCCAAAAATTCAGTATTATATATCGACAACGCCGACATCACACGAACAGAAACGGCTACGTCACAGGTCCGACCCTCGAATCATCATATCAACCATTCACAACGCAGCCAAACGAAGGCATTCGGTGGCCATGGAGTTCCTGCAACACTCGACGGCCGAGAGAAAGCGGGCCGTCTTTCTAGAAGGCGGAACATGCGGCGCTAAGCTCATGTGTCTGGAGGCAATCGGAAAGGCATACACGGCAGGGAATCTGGAAAAAGCGGCAGCCATCTTTGACCGACTTATGAGCCAGGGCCTCAAGAGCTTTGCCGATGACGGATTTGATGTGGACTCAATTATCGACCCAAAATCGAGTGACACATGGGCCGGGAACACCGACATCAACAAGGATGTTTGGGCAAACAAGGGTAGCGAAGCCAACCGAAGGGAGGACGATGATGAGATGGAAGATCCAATCACGAAAGCCATGCGGGCTGCTGATGCGCTCGATATGGAAACAGAAAACCTTCAGCCTCCCAATCATGACGTTGACTTCAGCGTGCCATTGGATTTGGGACTGATTCGGCCACGTGCAAGAAGCTTGAGCATGTCGGTCGTTGAGAATATGGTTGCCGCTCCCGACGGAGTGATCCGAGAGAGGGAAGTCGATTTTGACATGTCTGCGGCTGCAAACACAAACGCATTCCAGCTACTCCCATCACCGCTTCTCTTCCCGTCGAAGTCTGCAAGAATAACAACAGCAACGTCTTTCTTGGCAATTTCCCCTCCGAAGAACACCACTCAGGGGCAGCTTAGGAAAGCAAGGTCTTATGAGCCTCCCCAGAACCGGAGGGAGATCAGATTCGATCTCAGGGTGGATGATTTCGACAATGCGCAGATGGCTTCCATGGCGTCTACAAAGGTGTCTGCCCAACACTGGGACGCAAGGGAGGAGTTGACAGATGGCGCAGGTATTGGCGTCGCAACCACGTTGCTGGGATCAGGTACCGGTACCGAAGACAAAGACCGAGAATGGGACGGCACAGCAAGCTTATCGAATTACTCAACGGCCACCCCTACAGCCCACGATGCAACCCACCACGTGGGAAGCCACGCGACGGTATCTCCTAAACCGCCACGGTTCCACGTCCCGCTTCGAAATTTGTTCGAGAAAAAGCCAAGGACGGTTGAAGGGCTGAACCTTGACAACGAGGACGGCGTTATCGGAACCGAAGGGCAGCGAACATCATCGGATGAAACGACGAAGCCTTTTGAGCCCCTCCTACCCTTCAATGAGCATTACGTGATCCACTTCTCAAACGGCAAACCTGATGACCAGTTCAGCTTCGTGTCCAGTCGCTACAAAGACTGCTTCGACGCCAATCACCAACCATCCACCTCGACCGATGCGCCAAACACGGATGCGACAGCCATAAGCCTTCACACCAAGGAGAACTTGAGAGATATGACCTCCATCGAACACAACATGTATCCTGCTTCCGAGTATGACCCTTATCGTTACGAAGAACAGCCCAAGCCGGCGCCGCAGTCAACCACACCTACCCCTGGCTACGTCTTCCCCGCTTCTTTCCCGATAACACCAGCACCGTCAGCAAGCAGGTTCCATGACCTGTCTACCCACAACAAGACTGCCGTCTGGGTGCAAAACACCCTTCGATTGGTCCTCGACAACCATACTCGTGTCGAGGAGATTGATTACCTCTCCTTGGCCTCCGACTCACCAGATCCGCAATTGCGCAGTATCTGGTCGCCCTTGATGTGCGCCGAAATGGACCAGCAAAAGGAAGAGGAGAGGAAGGTCGACCTCATATTGGCCATTGGCGCCGATGCCGGTGTCAAGAAGGACTTCAAGCAAACAGTCATGGCCAAGATTGAGCAGCTTGGGTTTCCTTCCAATGGTGACGGGATGTCGAGAAGCGGGCGATTGGGTTTGCGGTAAGCTTGATCTATTCGATGATAAACTTGTCCCGAGGAGAAACTGACCCGACCAACTGCCCACAGATATCTGATAGCAAACGCTATGCAAACCTTCACCTCCCAACCGTTGATGCAGCAGTCCAAGGAGAACCCCTTCTCCAATCCCACGCTTCTGGCGAGCCTCATCATTCCCCATATCGACACCTACTTGCGTGGAAACGACAACGTCCAGGTCCTTCTTATCGAATTCCCGGTTGAGCACTTGTCTACCATGTTGGCTATGCAGAAGCTCATGGGGAGCCAGGTGATGAAGGTGGTTGGTATTTCCAAGGAAGCGGATACGACTATGTTCTCGATGGCCGACTATCGATTCTCGGCTACGGCACCCGAAGCTGAGGTTTCAGAGTGTGTTGGGGTTATTCGTGATACTTTGGCCTCCATTTCGGACTTCTACAAGACGAGTGATGTGTCAACTGCCATTGATGTCCAAGGGGAGAAGGAGGTCACGGCGAGGCCCTTGAGCACCAAGAGCAGCAACCTAACAAGCTCCAGCATTCCGCCCCTGCTCCCACCACAACACTCACCACGCCATAAGCCATCACCCGCGGTTATCCCAACATTTGCCGCCATGGCCACTCCTCCCCCGCCCCTTCTCCCTGCTTCTCCAACGGACACCTACAACCACACCCACGCCTACGTTCACAGTAACGGCCAAAGCCACGGCCATGGCCACGGACAGATCAACACCTACATACCCGCAACTGCCATTCACCTACCCACAACTCGCTCCATCTCCCCTCCTCCCTGCTCCCACTGCTCATCAACCCTCAGCACATCAATAACCCGCAGCAACACGCTAATAAGCCACGACACAGTTCCCGTAGCGACCCGAACGGTGATCCCACCACAATCTCCCCATTCTATAACCAGAGAGAGATCCCAACGGCCTAGCATCAGCGGCGGCAGCGGCAGGAGACCAACACCAGCCTCACCCTCCGGATCCAGCACTGTCATTCCGCGCACCAGGGCATGGATGCCGTCAACCATCAGCACAGCTACCAGTTGTGTACAAGGTCAGGGACAAGGGCAATGGCAGCAAATACTTCCACCACATATCGTCCCTGTTATCACCACCACTACTGCTACAACACCAAACGCAGCAGCGGCAACAGCAGCAACAAATAACAGACTCCAATCCCCCCTCTCCCTCAACTCCTCCGACCCACTCTCTTCGGGAGCATCAACCTCCTCCCTCCTGTCAACCGGAGAAACAGAAACCGACTTCAACTCCGATTCCCATCTCGATTCCGACGATCAAGACAACGCAGACCAGCTAGAGTCAGACTCAGACCCAGACCCCTTCGACTTTTTCGAAATCGACTTTGAAGAGCGGCGCTTGATGCCCATGTTTCTGAAATCACAAATTGAGGCGCACGTTGCCTCTTCCGGAGGTGGAGCAGCAGCTATGCAGGGTCATCGCAGCCCCGTGGGAATGGGAAACAGGGAGGTGCACATGTTGGATTTGGAGACGTTGTTGGGTGGTGGCAGGAAGGATTTTTGGGGAGAGGTTTTATGCTAGCGGTAGTGGCAGTGGTCATGGTAACGGTAACGGTAACATCGAAAGTGATGAACCAAAAACCAGCTTCAGCATCGACACGAGGAGTGAGAAACGACAACTCGGCCAGGACGGAAAGAAGGGCAAGAAGGACAAGAAAGGTGGCAAGGACAAGAAGAAGACCACAGGAGCGGGCGGAAGGAACAGCGACAACGGCAACGAGAAAGCGACGACCGCGGCACCGGAAGCGGATGGAAATCTTGCCGAGAAACCCAGCAAACTGAACAATAACAACAACAACAACAACAACAACAACCTCAAAAAGAAGAAACAGAACACCAAGAAGAAGACCGCGCCCAACAGGCCTCTGACACCCAGCCACCAGAATCAGCCAGACCCGGGTAATGGAGGTGGAAATAATACTTACACAAGCCCGGTGTCGAGGAAAACTACCACGACGATCTTCGACCAGCACGCATCTCATTCTCCTGGAGGCGGAGGTATGGCGG